TTTGCAGTATCTGAATATTTACGAGTGATGAATAATGCTACTACAGTTAATTTAAATTTATCATCATTGATGGGAAGTAATCTGAATAATTTTTGGCGTTATGATGGATCATTAACTACACCTCCTTGTACAGAAGATGTTAAATGGACAATATTTAAAACACCTATTGTATTCAGTGATATAAATATAAATATTTTTCGACATACGATTTCTTTCGAAAATTATCGTGGTCCACAACCATTATATAATCGAACAGTATATCGAAATTTTCTACATGAAACAATCTTACCAATAACTGATTCTTTCTGTTGTATAGGCAACATGAATAATTTGGCAAATAAACATTTCTTACATGCTGCTAATAAACTGATATTGTATACATTCATTCTCTTTACTGTTTTTTGAATATAATGAATAAATAAGTGAGAAAGGTTTATACGCACTTGCAAAACTTGTTATTGTATGATTTTATTTTTTTGAAACGATAGGTTCTTACGCAATTCCGTACAAATTACAGTATGCCTTGATTAATCTGCCAGATGTCATGAAAAACTTCGCATGAAATAACTTTAAATTATACTTCAAGTATGTTTTCGTCTTTCTACTACCTACTGAAAATAAAGAACAGAAGAATCTTTTATATGCTTCGAAAGGTATTTCTTCACCTGTACCAAAAACGTTCTGACGAATTATATATATATGTTGTGTGTTCTACATTTATAATGACGGAACTCATTAGAGCACATATATTTTTCTTTCTATTGAAATAAAAGTGAATAGTTAATTGATGCTGACATGTGCTTTCTGAATACCAAATTAAACTATTCGGAAGTATCTTGAGGGGTGAATATTTGTGAGTATAAAAATTTACTGTTATAATTTATGTAAAATACGATCAATATAAGTTATACATATTCTACCTGTTTGCTTCAGTTATTCAATATTTTATATCGTTTCAGTATTCGAATAATAAAGTAATTAATCATATTTCAATGCAGTTATTCATTTCGATACTTCTGCTATTGACTATTATTAATGGAATAATGTGTGAATTATGGAATTATCATGATTTAGGACCTGATGTTTGGAGTGACACATATGCAACATGTGCGGCACATTCTCAATCACCAATTAATATACAAACTGCATGTACTGACTATCAATCATTTACACCTTTTTCTTTTCAATCCGGTTATAATTTAACACATAATTTCACTCTTCATAATAATGGACATACCATTGTTGGTAGATATACTGGTAACAGCTCAACAACATACAAATTGACAGGTGGTGGTTTAAATGGAACATATGAATTTCTTCAGTTTCATCTTCATTGGGGTGAAAATTATAAATCTGGTAGTGAACATCAAGTGTAACTAGATTTCCATTCATTTTTCAATCTATACAACCATATTTTTTCTATTTAGAAATGGTATGAAGTATGCTGGTGAAATACATTTTGTTCATAGAAATACTGAAACATTAAAATTAGCTGTTTTGGGTTTTTTTATGGAAAGTATTCCAAATACATCTGCAAGTAATACTACACATACAACAAAAACCAGCGATATTTCCGAAACCAATAACTCAACATTATTAGAATGGCAAAAATATTTTGCAGTATCTGAATATTTACGAGTGATGAATAATGCTACTACAGTAAGTTTAAATTTATCATCATTGATGGGAAATAATGTGGGTAATTTTTGGCGTTATGATGGATCCTTAACTACACCTCCTTGTACGGAAGGTGTTATTTGGACTGTATTTAAAGTACCAACTATATTTATGGAAAATGAATTAGCAAGTTTTCGAAATAATGTCTATTTCGAAGATTATCGCGGTCCACAACCATTATATGATCGAACAGTATATCGAAATTTCTTAGTTGAAGAAATATCATCAATACCTGATTATACCTGTTGTCTCACAAGTTCAAGCAATTCACTGAGAAAAGTATTTGATCTAAATAACTTACTTATAGAAGGACTGAAATATATTTTATCGTTTATCATTATTTTTTGTACTATGTTTTAAGTTTTCAAATTTTACTTTACATGAAATAATTTCTATTTTTATTATATTTATATAATTTACATCACATAAAAATTTTTAATGCTTATTAATTGCAAGCTTTCGAGTCATATTATTAAGTATTAGTATTAATTTATCAGATTGTTTTTGTTGTTGTAAATATTTGATATATAATGGATAAAAGTACTGATGATATAGTTTTGGATCAACATTATGTCTTCCTTGAAGAACAGCAAATAAATTATGCATACTGGTTGATTTATCAGTAATCGCTTGACCATTGGCTTCATCAGTTTCTTTTTGACGCCATCTTAATCCATTATGGATAGATTCAATTAATTTATTTTGATTTTTCACTGTCCAATCTAGATGTGACCATATACTAAAACCAGTTAATTCCACTCTTGCTATCGAATTTGAAGATGATAATGCACTATTATCAGTATGATATGTATCAAATATTTTTGTGCAACGTCCTGTTAAAAAATAAAGTGTATATTCCGTCCACATATATCCAAAGATTTCTCGCCAAAGTGCCCAATTAGCCATTTTATTTAAAAAAATTTCATCACCATAGAGTTTTTGTAATCGACATAATGTTCGTAATGCAATTGTACGTGATAAAATACTTGGTGTAACACCTATTGTTGGTATATCTGTATCGGATTTATCATACGACACACATGATTCTAATTTAATTTGCAATAATCGTTCACTTTCTGACCACCATTTTTCATGGCTTGATCTACCTTCAGCATGATTGATAGCTTGATATAATGATGAATTCTTATTTTGATGTAATAATTGTTCAACATGTATTGGCCATACAGCTACACAATCTGAATCAAGTATTAGATAATGTTCTGTTTTTACTATCTGTGCAACAAATAATTTAAACATCATTTGTAAACGATAAGAAGTAGTATGAATATGTTTTAAAAGTATATTATCAGATATAACTGATACTCTCCATGGCCAAGATTTTACTTGTTCAGATGAAAAATATGGTTGTAAAAGATGAACATCTTGTGGTGGAACAAGAAACATAACTTCAGTAATACGTCGAGAATCAAGATGAGATAATAACGCAGCCATTGTTACTGGTAAACGTTTAAATTCTGGTCGTGCTGAAACAGTAACAACAGTTAAATTCATATCTGACTTATCATTGGATAGTACAGGACGTGGCCATCCAGGTTGATTCATATCTGCAATACATTCGAGTGGTTGAACATGATGAACATTAGTTAGCCATGGAATATGTGCCTTGGGTGGAAAGATACTTTTTGGTTGACCATTTAATATTAATAGAACAATGATGAAAAGAGCAACATATATGATGGAACAAGACGATTTGAAAAAAGTGACCGGAGAATTTAATAAACCTTTTAATAAATGTAAAATACATATTTTAATTTTTTTTGTAATTGTAGTAGTTGGTTTAACATGCCCGTGAGATTTATCTAACATATGATATTTGCTACTCATCTAATCATAACAAAAATACAAAAAAAGAAAATGATTTTTATCAACAATATTACCTTATGTTTATATATTGATTTAAATACAAGTCATTATTTGTTTTAATCTAAAAGATACATGATAATCAAAGAAAAAACCAGTCATAACAGATGATTGAATAATTACTCTTTTGACTGGCTCATGTCGTTAACTGTACATACTAATATTGATGATATTATCTCAAACTTAGAAAACGATCGTTGTTACCTACCTAAACTAGAAAATATGAACTTGAATATTCAGACAAACACACTGATGATATCTATGGAAACTAATCAAAGCGAACGACACCAAAAAAGACGATATAATAAATTTGCTTTCTAACCCTGTGCAATAGGTAAATAAAAAACTAGAAGAAAAAGCAAGAAATTGAAAATTTCAATGGATTGTCACAGACGGCAAAGAAAGACGTAGCTCAACAATGTGATCGCTATATGAAAAATGTAGAAAGAAAAAAAGAAAAGAAAAAGACGTGTATATACACATACGCATATAAAGGTTCTTTGATTGCTCTCTAGCACGTGGTCTTTAACGCGTGCCATATATGAAAGTATACTTATTCGTGTAAAATGACATTCATTCCAGCTGTTCTCGATAATTTACAGTCACTATTCATTCATTCAATAAAATTTGTAACAATTTTATGAATATTATTTCTCATTGAGAAATTTTAACTTTTAATACATGGTCTGGTGATACAGAGTGAAAATGATTAGGTGGAACTCGTATAAAAAATCAATGTGTTCGTCTGATTCTAGAAATATGAAGTGCATTTTTTGACTTCACAGCGTTCGTCCTATATGAGTCATAATCTGTCATATCAATAATAGTTTTTTAAATTTCTCGAGAATGATTTGTGGCCAAAAATTGATTCAGATATAATCATAATCAAAATATTTTACTTGATTCTCTGAAAGCTGTTTTTAGTCATTTTCGTATCTTTCGATATTTTCCCATCCACACTATAATACAACTATATTGTTCCAATTTCTTTCATGCTATATAAGACATAAATATATTCAACAGAGCATAAATGAGTAATTATAGAAAATAGTCATGAGTAGGGTGCCCAGATCCTCTGAAAAGTTTCTGAAGTTTTGCCATCTCAAGTTGGTGTTGAACTTAAAATAAGAATGAAGTTTTATTATTCCTATGAGCAATTTTACATACATGCCCTGATTCAAACGTACTTGTTAGAGCAAAGCCTTTAAAACAGAAAATATCATCAATAAAATCGAACCTTGTAATTTACACTTATTTCTTATTGAATAGAATTTCTTAATCGACATACACTGTAAAAAAAGATTAGAATAATAAATCCTCATTTTTGTTTACGCATATAATCATAAATCTTTTTTAGGGTTTATTTTCCTAATCAAGCATTTTATATACCCCTTTTATTCATAGGCTTTAAGAATAGTATTTTATACATTGCATTTCTATAAATTCATTACGGTATTTAAGATACACGCAAAGCAAAAATGCAGTGAAAATAATTGTTTTTTATATATCATAGACATTTCGATAGAGAATATCAAGGTGGTCGAGTATATATGCATCTTAAATTCTTTCATGACTTTTTTCCTGTTGGAATGTGAAGAAAACTAGGAAGGTATCGAAAACAAATAATTTGACAACTTTTCTTCGATTCCTCTTTTTTTGAATATGCTATGACATAGAACCTTTTAACTTAGTTTTTCTGATTCGCCATCTTTAAAGACCACAAAAAAACTTTTTACAAAATGCAGAGCACACATATGCTTGACCGCATTGAAATTCCGTATTAAAGGATGTATGAAAATCAAAAAGAAAAAATTTCAATTTAACTTTGCTTTTTGTGCATCTTAGATCGTGATATACCCCTTAACATCATAGTCACTAATTTAATAAAATTAGCCTTTCTGAATTTGCTAGAGAAAATTTCTAATTTTCCATTTGGTTGCCATCTGGTCATCTTGGTTATGTGTTGACAATAAAAATAAATATAAGGTGGAAATTTATATATACTGATGTGCGATGAATACTTTGTTGAATGATTGTCTTTATGATATTTAAAGTTAATTAATTCAAATAATAATCAATGAACAATATTCTTTCAAAGCCATTTTTTATATATTTTCATAAGCATGCTTTGATGCAATAAACAAACAAAAAAAACCCAAGAAATAAAGAACAACTTGAAAACGTGAGTATGCAATTTTCTACATAACCATGAAAGAAATAACAACAATAAATTGAAATATTCAAGAAAAAATAAACTATATGCATCACATCTGACAAATCTTGTTTTTCTTTTTCTTATAAACAATTTTTAATATAATATCGATTAAAACAATTACGAAAAAAAAAGTGTTATTTCGATATTGTATTTGTATTGTTATTGTCCGTTTCCCCATCACTATCAACAAGAATAATATCGTTATTTCTCATATTGATAGCCGGTGGTCGTGGTAAAATAGGAACTGTACCAGCTACAATAAAAGAATAAAATATTTTAATTTTTAAAACATATTCTATCATCATTGACGTTTTATAAATACTAATCTTTACTCTATTAGCAATTTTTAAGGGTAATTTTAGAATAGAATCTGATAAAAACAATGATCATTACTTGTAGATTTTTGTGGACGTATATTAG